CTCTGTTAAATTATTAGCAAAATGGTGTTAACTTGTGAGAATCGTTACAAGTTTGTTGCATGCAAATTATAAAGAAAATCTAATTACTAGATTTTCTGCAAATAAACAAAACCGATTTCAAAGGTCTGTTTATATTTATTCATGTTGCCATGGCAATGGCACATATGTCAGCATAATCATCAAAAAACCAAAATTTGTGTTGTTAACTTGCTTGCTGCCATTTTTGACGACCGAGGGATTAAGGGTTTTAGAGAAAAAGGTGAATGAAACACAGGTATCAAAAACTGTGTTCAGCCACCTTAAGGTTACTTACGTCAGCCTGAGCGCGGAAAATAATAACAACTCAAAAGCTTGCAAATTCGCTTACATTTTAGATGTTTTTCTTTGTGTTTCACAAAATGCAAAGTAAAAAAAAAGTACAAGCAAAGACAAAATAAGAGAAAGACAGAAAAACAAGATGTACCTAATACGTTTTCCCTCTTAGAAAGGAAATTCTCTTTGTTATCAGCGTCACTATGTTTTGTTTTCGTCTCGTAATCATAGAATACGAGTATTTGATACTTAAGATGGCTCCCTATAGTTTTACGATTGCCCGCGCGCACAGGACGAAAGTTCAAGTAATCTGCGCGCGCTCAAAGGAAAACTTCAGTATATTTCGATTTTTATGACGTCAACATGAGCACAAAAAGCAAAACTGACAGTGAATTTTCTCGCGTTTCCTTCGGTGAATTTTTTCAGTAAAATCTGGCTCAGTTGTAACCAGATACAATTCCTATAAAATACCATATTTTTGTTAAAATCTGTCAGAGCTAATCTAATATATTTAGAAGAATGACAAATTACAGAATATTGGCAAAACCGTCTGAACAACCTTGACTTTGACTTGAAGTTTCCTTTTCTAACTCGCGCTCTATAGAGAGTGTGTTCATAAATACTCTAGTGAGCCACCTTAATGGACGTAATGCATAAAGAATCGTTAATACTAACTCTGCCGAAAAAGCAATATATTAACTCACTCGTGCTGATAATTAGCAACATTCATCGACTGGCATCCGAAATGACTGCAATCGATAAAAGCTTAGTTAGTGATCAGGAATATACAAAAGCGGTAAAGAAGATCAGAAGGACAGAAAGCAAGGCAATGAAACTTTTTAATATAACATTAAGCACAACAACAAGCCTGCAAGCCTGATGTCTTAGATCATTTCATTTATATATCAGCCGCTATTCATCGGAAATAAATAGGTTTCTTTTGCCGATAATGATTACTGATTAAAATGCAGAAGTATAATATGTTAATGCATCTTTCAAGAGTTGTTATGACGCTGCCAAATTGGTTTTACCACACCTCATACTCACATTTTAATTTTAGGTGTTCATAAAACACAAGTACGAACCAGTGACTGCTGTCAGCTCCAACAATTAAGGTATGGATATTTTAAGTTCACAATTTTAATTCTTATTCGACTCATTCTATAACGTATTTCATATTTTAATTCGTTTGAAACAAGAGAGTACCATAGTCAAGTTCTCTGTGAGATAGACAATTTAGGTACCTCGGTTTCGTCAGCTCCAAGTTATCAGTAGATCAAATTTGACTGCATAAAACTTAAGTTACTTCTTATTAGCATGCGACGATTTAACGACTCTGAGTATTAACTTGCGAAAAAATATACTTTTAATGGAGTTGAAAGAGTTTTGCATTATTATCTTCTAATAATAGCCACCTTAATCTAGGTATATCTGGTGAGTTTAGCCATTTTGTCCCTAGAAAAAAAAAATAAAACAGTTTTGGAAAACGGAAACATTAAATCGTAAGCCATGCTTAGAAAATGTTTAGCTACAGAGGGGCTGAGTAAAGCTGGTACTCTTTCTTCCAATGATTTTTGTTGTTACTTTATTCGCCTGACATCAGAGCCTGTAATATCTGTTTGTTTGAAAATCCCATGGTGATCGGCTTATCAATTTCTTACGAAGAAGATGTAATTTGATAGCGCTTACGGGGAATTTCATACCGGTTTAACATTCTTTTTTTGCAATTGCGGCATTTCATGAACGGACTGTGCCGTAACGAACAAGCTATTTCTATCTAGCTTTTGTTTGACGTATCATAGCGTGAAAACATAGTTAATAGAACTATAGCCAGTCATCTGGCGCTGTAAACAGGTGTTACTCGGATATTTTCCATTTGTATTAAGTTTCTGCAATTGATGCGGGTTCCCACTTTCCGCTATGTCATTAGCACATTAAGTGTCATTCTTGTCATTATTTAGACCTGAATGTTTGGTCCATCGCTGGACCACAGAGCTGAAATAAAACAAAGTCATCAGAGTCGTCAATAGATCTATCTCAATGTGAAAATCTCCCGTCGATTCACATTAAAAATTTGATAGGTTGGAACTCCATGAGAGCAGAAACGTCAATGAAATTGAACATGTATCAGCGATTAAACGAGTATGAATTTTCGTCATTCTTTGAAAATCCCGTTTTTGTTTTATCCTTTACACCTTTATTTGAAAGAGCATAATTCAAGCAATTATCACAATGAATATCAACGACAGGTGTATGGTTACCAAGGTAACATAACTAAGATACTATTTTTGTTACTGAATGATTCTTTTCGCAACGTTAATTTCACCAATTAGGATGCTACAATATTCTTTAACATTAGGTAGGTATATCTCAACGATTTCTGGTCCGAGGCAGGACAGCTGCACATAAAAATACGTACCCTAACATTATAGTTTTTATTTCGACTCTTCCTGAAACGAACTAAATATTCGCTGTTAATTAAAACCTTAAACATGTTTTATCCTTTAGAATGATGATGGGTAAATGGTTTACGGTGTCGTCGGTTGTTCTCATTACACTTGCTGCTGTTCAGTTCCAAGTTATTTTAGCGAATGATGACTCATCCACATCTGGCGATGGAGAAGAAGGCGAGGAGGAAAAAAAGTACCGCTATTTAAATTTGTTTACTGCCTGGCTCGAGAGACCTCCATACGCAACATTACCTCCCAATGGATCATTAGACAACAGTGTCCATGGAATGATTCGAGAGGCACTCTTTCGGTACATATCTTATGACTGCGGCAGTGCTATCCATAAAATATACATCCCAAAAACAAATCGTGCTGACAGCGAATTTGGCATGATCGAGATGCTGAGGCAAAACAAAGTCCATCTTGCTATTCCTGTATTCGAGCCGATAAACCGACGGTACATTGAATTCCCCTTTCTAAAACTCGTTGATTACCCTGGGACTGATTTTATCACAACAGAGGACGAGACGAAAGGGCTCAACATTGTTTTGAACGCCGTTCTGAAATCTTGGCCACTGCTCGCAGTTACTCTGATCCTCACCGCGATTGCTGGAGTCATTATGTGGGCGCTGGTAAGGTTTGTTTGAAATACTTCATTGCGCCAAGAAGATGCATTATATGTTTTGATATTTGCAAGTGGTGCTTAGGTAGGATTGCACGTTCCCTTCCAAAGTAGCCGTCAGACTCTATTTCGTTGCATGTAAAACATGACTAAATGTCTGTGGGGAAAGTCTGTGCTGTCCAGGAGGACTGTTATTCTAGTTGCGAAAGAAGAACAAGATTTTACGCCTGCAACATTGTATGCGACCCTTTTTTTATTAGTATTATTTTTGTTGGGGGGGGGGTATACACAGTGCAGTTTAGCCATCACGGGTAATATTGCGCGCAATGTTACACCGTGTGTCCGGTCTTTAACCAATCCACCACGCTTCCACCTGTGTTACCACCCTTTATCAGTGGTCAGTGTTAAAACTTCATCTGTGCAAGAACACATGACAGTAAATTGCTTTAATTGACACAAACAGGACACGTATTGGAATAGTGAAGAGTTTCCTCGTTCATTTATCAGAGGCTCTTGGGATGGATTCTGGTGGTCCTTCATTTCTATGACCACAGTAGGGTAGGAAAACCTTTTGCTCACCGTATTGCTATCTTTTAATGAAGTCAGCATTATCTTAGTAACTGTACGTCATAGATCAGCTCATTGAGGGGTGGTTTCTTAACATCATTGAGATGGTTAAACTTAAAGGCTTGGGATCCGCCACTTTAAAAGATGGACCATTACAAACTATGAACAACAGTACTTTTAATCTTTTGATTGACACAGAATTTGGTTGCTTGAGTTCTTTGGTCGGTCCTGTATTCGTTCAAATCCTGCCACTTCGAGCGCTGTGCAGCATATCATCATTGAATCAATCAAGCCGAGTGGCTGGACATCCAGCGACCTATTCACTGCTTATAGCTCAGTTTACACAGCGTTCATTTCGACAAAAGCTCTCTGCTTTATTTTATTCCCCGTTAAGTACAGGGAAAATAGACCTAGATCATTAACTATTACTAACAAAATAAATGTCTGCACTTGTACAAGTAATTTTAAAATACTATTTGTGCTTTCGTCATGGTTTCGCTAACTTGTACTGTATAAATTATTCACTGATTGCTTACTGATGCATCAGGTATGGCGACAAATCTCCAAAGTCTGTCGTAGCTCGAGTTTTTTCCATCATCTGGATCCTGTTAGGCCTCATTATCATGGCGATTTTTACAGCGAACATTACCTCCGCTCTGACCGCTCTCTCTTTGCAACTGGAACCAAGTAGCCTCGTTGGTTTAAAGGTGGGTCTATCCAATTGTGCCAACTTGCAATTTGATTTCAGTTTTGTCCTTTTTCTGTGTTTACAGAAATGTAGCTCGAGAGCCAATTGTGCACGAACTATCGGCCAGATTTCGAACATCTTAGATCTCTTTTGTTTATATTAAGGAAATGTTGGCCTTGGACGTTTGTACCTCATGAATGCTTTCAATTATGACCCGGTACATTGGCCGTTTTCACACTAGAGACGGATAATCCGTCTAGACGGATTATCCGTCTATTTATATCCTTTCGATTATCCCGATCTACATAGACGGATAATCGGACGGATAAAAATAAACGGATTATCCGTCTAAAATGAGCACCGTTCCGTTTTCACACTAAGACGAATTATCTGTAATGAACGGATAACCCGTCGTAGACGGATTATCCGTCTCTAGTGTGAAAACGGGCCATTCAAGAATGGAATTGTGTTCACAAGGAATAGCGAGCTCTGATCATCAAGGTAGAGAAAAATAAATTGTACTTTAACCACGTTAAATATCGCTCACAAAATGTTGGTTTTATGTGTGAATGGAATAACTTTGACCAGGATGCTAGAGGGCGAACGTTTGTGTGTGTCTTCTTGTTCTGCTTTTTGTAGGCGATTTATGTACTCTATTAACAATTTTAATCGTTTAAAATGACAATGTTGTAAGTATCCTATGTCTGCATTAAACTTATTGCATTTTTTAGTATTTATTCTCATAGAAATATTCCTGTGGGAATTCCCATTAGGTTGCAGTGTTAGGCAATGGAACAGAGTACCAACATGCACTTGAAGAAGATGCTAGTCCCACAGGTTAAGTATAAGTACAAGGACTTGCAAAAGAAGATAAAAAAAATAGGATCAAAAATAGAAGTTCTTATACACTCTTTTTTGTTATTGTTTTTCTATAGGAATATATTTTATAGAATGTCAAGGCTCAGATTTGCAAAATTTTTAGAATAATTATTTTAAGAAAGAACCTGAGGCTGAAATTTTGAAAAGAAAAAAAAAAAACTTTGTGTGTTGATAGGAACCCATGAACATGGTTTTGAAAATTTGCAAATGCAATACTGTTATATGTTTTTAACTATGCCGTAAAAAAATATTTTTTTCCCTAACAGCAAAACTACCCAAAATAAAACAAAAAACAGCACTAGCCGTAAGTTCGACTCTAATATAAATATTCTCCAAGAAGATATGTGTGTCATCGATAAGGCTTTATTGCTTGCAGTCTGGCTCCAAAATTACGCCAAAGTCAATAAAACGGACCGGAAATATCATACGCTATAATCTAAGAATATGCTCAAGAATATCTTCAGCCTCAAATCGTCAGAAAATAAGAATATTCGGCCTGGACCGGAAAAACAATCTTCTTATTTTAAAAAGAGTATATGTAGCACCCCGGTGCTTGTTTTGTAAATGTCAGTCGAAGGAGCCAACATATTTCTCTTTTTTTGAATTTCAGACACATTTCAGCTCGGTGTTTTAAACACTGTCCATATATCTTCCTCTTTATTTAGTGTACCACAGAATCGACGACATGATTCAGGCTGTCAAATCAAAACAGGTCGATGGGATGTTATTGGATCATTATGCAGCTTCCTATTACCAGTCAAGAAACCAACTGCAATCGCTTCACACAGTCAAAAAGTTAGAGCTTCAAAGAGACGTTGGAATTCTCTTTAACAGAAATAGAGAGGATCTTGCAGAGTGTTTATTGAATTATCACCGTGCAAGTATTTGGAGTTCGGTTCAAACCATAACTGCTACGTATAAGGTAACGTTTCAAGTTATAAAATTGAACATTAATTAAGGTCTTAGGTGACCTATAATATGGTTCTCCTTCTCAGATTTCCCCTGATTTACACAACGCAATCGCACAGTGCAGTTAACCTGCACTGCAACGAACCATATATCGATCTTTACTAGAACTGGAAAAAACCAACAGCTCTCTAAGAGGACATGTGTTTACTGGATAGTGAATAACCACAATGGTGCAAACAGCAGAGTTGCGGAATTTTATAGTCCTATGCGAAGTATTGCTTATAAAATTTGAGTGCCCTTTGCAGTAATTGATAGCGAGTCAGTAAGCAAAATTATTATATGGCTTGTGTTTGTAGCCGATATAACGCGCTCTCTGATTGACCAATTCTAGGGCATTACTCTTCCGTAATGCCCCCGGGCCAATTACCGACCTGCAAAAACAAAGCAAATAGCCATATAATAAACAACTTATTTTAACCTTGAGCGTTCGTTCGTTAAGACCTGACTCAGTTAATAAGTACTAAGTATTGATGACTTTCCTAAATCTCCTTTCAAAGCGATATTTATCTCTAGGCGGCTCTGTTATTTATGCGGTGGTTTTCTTGTTTTCCTTTTCTCCTTTAGCTTACTAAGCTGAAGCCTTCCAAAAACGTCAACCTGTTTGACGAGTCCTCTCCCTTCATAAAAACGTTCTTGTACATTTCGCTTGGGGTATTGGCTGGATTGCTGCTGATTGGAACATTATCGAACATCCTTTTTAGACAGAAGAGAAGGGCCCAACGAACGAAAGTATTAGGTGAGCATCATAATTATAATGTGGTGTGCAGCTCAAATCAAGGGAAAATGACTTCCGTTCTCTCCCTACTCACATGTGCGACTGAGAGTCCAGTCTAATAAAAAACAACTTTTTTCAATCTTTCTCGTTAGGAGTTGCGGCAGTTAATGAAGGAATGACATCAGATACAATCAATGACGACATTAAAGTGGCAAGACAGCTCCTTCGACAAACCCAAGAACAGTTCGACAAACTGGAACTCCAAGTTTCAAGATTAAAATACCATCAATAATTTATGGTAGTGAGATGTAAGAATTCAAACTTGGTGACTTGAAAGTTTCATTTTATCAATTCGATGCTTCAATTGTTTGTCGTCTTCCAAATGTTACCACTTTACTGTTTAATGGATTGTAAATGTGTGATCTTTCGGAACTAACCGTTTTCAACAGCAAACGGTTTCTTAGTATACACCTTATTCCAAAATGGCCGCAATTTTAGTATTCTTTTGTTTACTTGCAAATTAGCCCTTGTTGCCTCATTTAAGGGAAAATATTCTTTTGAATTTCGAGTTTAACAACGAGGTAACAAGGGCTAATTTGCAAGTAAACAAAAGAATTCTAAAATGGCGGCCATTTTGGAATAAGGTGTATTTGTTACAAAAGGCTGTTTAGATTTAGCTACAAGCAAAGGCTTAACTTTTTGTAATTATAACCCCGTTCCTGCAGAGCTTCGTTTTCATTTAAGATCTTTTCAGTAAGTTCTGAGACTTAGCAGAACGTTTTCTGTGCTTCATGTCGTTGTAAGAACAGGGTTTTACCGTAAAGTATTGTCGCAAGTTGCTAGAATTACTGGTGCACAGCATTTCTCAGAAACAGAAACAAAACATTTTCAAAGCACAATTTTTTTCGAATAATAACCTTCCCCAACACTTAGCACCATCCCTCCGAAAAAGCATTCTACCAATAAATACATGCTTCAGTAGCATGCTTAATTCTTTTTAGGAAGTTTCTTGCCCAGGGTTAACCTGGAGACTTCCTCTTAAAACACATTTTATCTTTTCGTTCCCTTTTGTAAATAAGTAAGTGCCGTTAATAGGTATGTATTTATGCATGTATTTATTGCATTATCGGATTTATAGAAGTGTTCACCTACTTTTTGTCTAGAAAACCCACACAAATCAGCCTTTCCTTCCATTAATTTGGGATAAGCCCTGTTTAAAACCATTGATAGATAATAACCGCCAAAGTGTTTAAATGTCTGATCTTACTTAGTCTAGATTTTTAATTTCTCCGTTTTCTTCTTCCAGCTTAGTCTTAAATGAAAAGATATATCAAACAATCCCTTGTGCTAATTTTTATTTATTTCTAAATGTTTCTCTAACTTGAATAGGAAATCTCGTAGATTAATTCGGCAAGTAGTTCAGTGTGTTGCTCCTGTGCCATAACCACATCAATTGTGATAATTATTACAACTGTAGTTCAGCGGTGCCACCGCATAGCTCTGGCTTCTGTAGCATATTGCGAATGACTTAGAGCATTGGTATTATCTAGACTTGGATGGGGTGCTAGCAAGTCATAGGTTACACTTAGGTATTTTAAAAAGGTTGCCTAAACACTTGCTGCTGGGTGGCGAAAGTCATTGTGAGTGTAAATTGTGTTGCCACCCACCCACCCCTTAAGACAAAAAAACGACCGGCCACACCTACCACTAAGTTTCCTTTGCACTAGCCTCGGGAATGCCCACTTGGGGTCTGCCGCCTTAGAATTTTGTCGGTTGTTCCGCTGGGGTTTCATATAGATAAGTATTATTAACACAAGGTAAGACAAATCCTTCTGCTACAAAATGTTTAAACTCGCTAGTAAGTATTTAAACAATCAGTGTATGTCTGGACTACAGTTTAAAAAGAAAATAATCAAAATAAAAAAAGCTGCTTTTGAAGGTTGCCTTTCAAATTCTTTCAAAATTTGTTGCGACATATTTTACTTTCCAAAGATTTGGAGGATGTTAATAGTCGCAAATCCGGTCGATGACTGCTTCTTTCACAACTCGCCTCCGCTGTACAAAAAAATAATTTCTTTCAGTATATGTAACCAGAGCATGCTGTCGACGAGCTAGCTTAGTTTCTAAGCACTGGCGCAGCCCTGACTCAGACCACATATGCTGAAATTTGCTACCCAATATGATAACCGAAAGATGTTTATATTCATAATTGTAAGTTTTGTCTTTCTTGCTACATCATCTGTTATCAGATTTGCTCAATCGAGACATGACTTGACGTAGTAAAATGGAACGACTGCATCTCAAACTAAAAGTTCGAACCTCATCAAAGCCCATGCTTGCGTACAGACGTTTACTCTTTTGTTTATGACAGTGAGACCGGGAATATGTTAGTTTGTTTATTTATTTATTTATTTATTTTTATTTATTTATTTATTTATATTTTTTTTGTTCATCAACTTTGTTTTCAAGGAAATAGTAGTCGTCTGCAGGCAGGTTATAGGGACCTTACTACGGTGGCTTTGAAGGGCCATCGAAATTACCTATTCTTTTTTGCTATTTGACAGTTATAAGAGTCTATCGACAATTATAACTGTCTATCATATAGTTATAACTGTCGGTAAATATAACTGTCGAAAAGGATATTACTGTCGATCGCTAGTTATAAGTGTCGATGGACAGTTATAGGTGGCGATCGACAGTTACATGTGTCGATGGACAGTTATAAGTGTCGATCGACAGTTATCCTTTTCAACAGTTATAAGTGTCGATCGACAGTTATTAAGTGTCGAAACAAAAAATAAAGAGATAATTTCGATGACCCTTCTAAGCCACCGTACCTTACGCATATACGACGGCGACGGCAAGGGCGACGCCTAGTAAAAAAAATGTGTTTCTATTTTACTTTGGAATTTCGTATTTATTTGGAACTATCCAGTGTGTCTGACGGTATTAAAACTTGCCCTTGTTGAATATGCCACGAATGCGNATTAAGGAAATGTTGGCCTTGGACGTTTGTACCTCATGAATGCTTTCAATTATGACCCGGTACATTGGCCGTTTTCACACTAGAGACGGATAATCCGTCTAGACGGATTATCCGTCTATTTATATCCTTTCGATTATCCCGATCTACATAGACGGATAATCGGACGGATAAAAATAGACGGATTATCCGTCTAAAATGAGCACCGTTCCGTTTTCACACTAAGACGAATTATCTGTAATGAACGGATAACCCGTCCTAGACGGATTATCCGTCTCTAGTGTGAAAACGGGCCATTCAAGAATGGAATTGTGTTCACAAGGAATAGCGAGCTCTGATCATCAAGGTAGAGAAAAATAAATTGTACTTTAACCACGTTAAATATCGCTCACAAAATGTTGGTTTTATGTGTGAATGGAATAACTTTGACCAGGATGCTAGAGGGCGAACGTTTGTGTGTGTCTTCTTGTTCTGCTTTTTGTAGGCGATTTATGTACTCTATTAACAATTTTAATCGTTTAAAATGACAATGTTGTAAGTATCCTATGTCTGCATTAAACTTATTGCATTTTTTAGTATTTATTCTCATAGAAATATTTCTGTGGGAATTCCCATTAGGTTGCAGTGTTAGGCAATGGAACAGAGTACCAACATGCACTTGAAGAAGATGCTAGTCCCACAGGTTAATTATGAGTACAAGGACTTGCAAAAGAAGATAAAAAAAATAGGATCAAAAATAGAAGTTCTTATACACTCTTTTTTGTTGTTGTTTTTCTATAGGAATATATTTTATAGAATGTCAAGGCTCAGATTTGCAAAATTTTTAGAATAATTATTTTAAGAAAAAACCTGAGGCTGAAATTTTGAAAAGAAAAAAAAAAACTTTGTGTGTTGATAGGAACCCATGAACATGGTGTTGAAAATTTGCAAATGCAATACTATACGGTTATATGTTTTTAACTATGCCGTAAAAAATATTTTTTTCCCTAACAGCAAAACTACCCAAAATAAAACAAAAAACAGCACTAGCCGTAAGTTCGACTCTAATATAAATATTCTCCAAGAAGATATGTGTGTCATCGATAAGGCTTTATTGCTTGCAGTCTGGCTCCAAAATTACGCCAAAGTCAATAAAACGGACCGGAAATATCATACGCTATAATCTAAGAATATGCTCAAGAATATCTTCAGCCTCAAATCGTCAGAAAATAAGAATATTCGGCCTGGACCGGAAAAACAATCTTCTTATTTTAAAAAGAGTATATGTAGCACCCCGGTGCTTGTTTTGTAAATGTCAGTCCAAGGAGCCAACATATTTCTCTTTTTTTGAATTTCAGACACATTTCAGCTCGGTGTTTTAAACACTGTCCATATGTCTTCCTCTTTATTTAGTGTACCACAGAATCGACGACATGATTCAGGCTGTCAAATCAAAACAGGTCGATGGGATGTTATTGGATCATTATGCAGCTTCCTATTACCAGTCAAGAAACCAACTGCAATCGCTTCACACAGTCAAAAAGTTAGAGCTTCAAAGAGACGTTGGAATTCTCTTTAACAGAAATAGAGAGGATCTTGCAGAGTGTTTATTGAATTATCACCGTGCAAGTATTTGGAGTTCGGTTCAAACCATAACTGCTACGTATAAGGTAACGTTTCAAGTTATAAAATTGAACATTAATTAAGGTCTTAGGTGACCTATAATATGGTTCTCCTTCTCAGATTTCCCCTGATTTACACAACGCAATCGCACAGTGCAGTTAACCTGCACTGCAACGAACCATATATCGATCTTTACTAGAACTGGAAAAAACCAACAGCTCTCTAAGAGGACATGTGTTTACTGGATAGTGAATAACCACAATGGTGCAAACAGCAGAGTTGCGGAATTTTATAGTCCTATGCGAAGTATTGCTTATAAAATTTGAGTGCCCTTTGCAGTAATTGATAGCGAGTCAGTAAGCAAAATTATTATATGGCTTGTGTTTGTAGCCGATATAACGCGCTCTCTGATTGACCAATTCTAGGGCATTACTCTTCCGTAATGCCCCCGGGCCAATTACCGACCTGCAAAAACAAAGCAAATAGCCATATAATAAACAACTTATTTTAACCTTGAGCGTTCGTTCGTTAAGACCTGACTCAGTTAATAAGTACTAAGTATTGATGACTTTCCTAAATCTCCTTTCAAAGCGATATTTATCTCTAGGCGGCTCTGTTATTTATGCGGTGGTTTTCTTGTTTTCCTTTTCTCCTTTAGCTTACTAAGCTGAAGCCTTCCAAAAACGTCAACCTGTTTGACGAGTCCTCTCCCTTCATAAAAACGTTCTTGTACATTTCGCTTGGGGTATTGGCTGGATTGCTGCTGATTGGAACATTATCGAACATCCTTTTTAGACAGAAGAGAAGGGCCCAACGAACGAAAGTATTAGGTGAGCATCATAATTATAATGTGGTGTGCAGCTCAAATCAAGGGAAAATGACTTCCGTTCTCTCCCTACTCACATGTGCGAC